CCTGGGCAGAACGATACTCTTGAACTAAATGCTCCAGCTGGTTGTTGATGTATTTTTCCCGGCTGCTGACTTTTTCCAGGGTTCTGCTGATTTCGTTATGAAGTTTGTCATGGTAGCCCTACAATGGTTTAACATGAGTCAGATCCGAGGGGTTATTTTAGGCGTGCCCATGAGGTTCGGGCATACACAGTGGAATTTGTTTTTTATTCATTTCCTTTGAAGACTTCCCTTCTCTGTATCACCAAGTGCGTTTGATATTTTGAAGGGTGGAGATGTTTGAAGTCTGTTTCAAAGGCAACTTTCTACGTAACAGGTACGAGTCTGTGCATGTGCACACATTACTGTTCAAGAAACACACATTCAAAGACCCCCCTTTGGAATGTAGTACTAAACTGTGTGGATCATTGTATCCTGGTCAATATATAACTGAAACAAGCAAAATTATTTCACTTGCTCAACCACAACTAGACCTTAAGTAACAGTGCTTCTGCAGGTTTTTTTTTTACAAGTCAGTAAGAAAATAAGCCTCAACACCAGGAAAAATAACAGACAAGCCATTTCATTCTTTAAAAATTCACATGTATTTGAGAAAAATTAAGAAAGCTTGAAAGGATTATTTATAAACAAAATAGCAAGTTTTTAGTGTTAGAGCTGATTTTTTGTAACCGTGAACATTCATCAATTTCTAAGACATCCATCAGCGATCAAATAGCCTCACCCATATTTATCTATCCAATACACCTCATCTGGACAACAAAGCCCCCAAGTAATGTTTTGCTCCTCACAACTAAGTATATCTACGGGCTTTGCAGACTTTCATGATACAAAAAGGAGAGCCAGTTAGTGATTATGGGCTGGCTCAGGAACGAACCAGATAACTGGCAAAAGCAGCTCCTTTTGGCTTCACTGAGAGGCTTGCTGGGGGAACCCCACACAGTCTTGAAGGTGCCTGATGGAAACCACAGAGGAACATGATGCTTCCTGGGGAAAAACCACGCATAACTTACATGCCGAGGGATTTGGCAAAAGCAAACAATGAGCAAAAGCAACGCCACACAAAGGAAGGGGAAGTTCTCTTGTCAGAAACCCATGAAGTGCTAACAAGTCATCAAAAAGCCACATTTGAATTATTTGAATATATTGGAAACCTACTTTGGTCTCTTTTAAAGCAGATTCAATTCCATCTTTGTGCTGGTGCATTTGATCTACATGGATTCTCCAATCCTACAATTGAAGTAAAAAGACATAACACAATTTATTTCATGCCTGACTCATCATAACTTTGCAAAGTTGGCTGCACAGCTGGAAAGGGTGGAAAGTTTGTTTATTTATTTATTCAAATTTTTACCCCGCCCTCCCGGCCGAAGCCCAAAGACAGTCATGTTGGAATGATATCATCTGAGACACCACTGTGTCCCAAAAGAAATTGCCAATGGATCTGAGGCAATGGATCTGACTGGCTACTCCCCTTATGAATCTACCCAACCACTACAGCCACCTTCCAAGGCTCCCGCCTTCTGAGATTAGGCAGGCGGTGACCCAGGAGAGGGCCTTCTCAGTCACAGAACCAAAACTCTGTAAACTCTCACCCCAGGGAGACTCATCTATTCCCTTCTGTTGCCATCTTTTACCAGTGGGAGAAGACTTCTTTGTTTTGTCTAGAGTTACCTCAGTGATCCCTCCTTCCTCCCCTATGTTTTCATTTGTTGTTTTTATGTGTGTATTTTAGCTTAGTTTTAATAGTTTTAATGATGTGTTTTTGTTTAGTTTTTACTGATTTTAAGATGTGCTTTAATATAATTGTTTTTAGTCTGTTAGCTGCATTGGAGGCCCTGATGAGGGCAGAAAGACAGGGTAAAATTTTGTAGTTTTTGTAAATAAACAATGTTTGCAAGCAGTTTGTTGCTTATGAATATTTTTGTTTCAGAAACCATTTTAAAAAAATGCTCCAGGCTGTACTATTACAGCTTTTCAACTCCACTATATGATGAAAGGCTGATTTTGCAAGTAACAAAACCTTTTTACTTGTTACTAAATAGTTTAAGAAACAGTACCACAGTGACTTGGGCAAAGGCTTGGTTCAAACATAACTCTGCTAGTTTGTGGAACTAGGCCTTGGCTCTCAGAAGAAAATTCAAACCTGGTTTGTTAAAGTCCCTTTCCCCTGCCTCTTCTGTACAAACCCAACTGATATCCAGCCTGCACTGCAGAACCTGACAAAGGGTCAGGTAGATTTCCCTCCTCAAGAATCTTCAGCTGCTCTTGATACAGCAAGCTGCCCTTGCTGCATCCCACCCACCCCCAGACACTTGCAAAAGAAGTGGCCTGGCTTTCCACATTAACCCATTCCTTCTACCAAGCCCAAAGAAACCAACCTCCCACTCCAGATTTAAGTGAATGCCACAAACTTACCCAAACACCCAAGGGGTCAACAGTGAATCCCTCCTGAAGTACCATTCCACCACTGGCAACTTTATTTCACCCAAAAGGACCTACATAGAGTCTGCTTCTTGCCTCGCTTACAACAGATTCTGTATACTTCTCATTTCACCCCACATCCAATGGTGTTTCTCATATGCTGTACAAAGAGGCACATTCTCCCCACAAATACCACCCATTGACTACATTCTCACACATGGAGTCCAAAGTGACCATCAAAGTTTCAGGAACATCAAGAACATCCACATGTTTACACTCACTCAGTGCAAGTTAATTGCATTCTATAAACTTCACTAAGCTGAACAAGCAAATAATCAAGAACAGCTGTGAATCCTGACTTTGATAGGTTGAAAATAAAAAGGGAGGAAGATTTGGGTGCTGGTGGGGTGGGTAGTATTATGGAAGGTGTAGACTTTCAGGGGCTTCTGGAGGCATAAGCATAAGTATCCCAGATGTTAAACACAGTCCAAAAGACAGGGAATATAAACATCAATGAAAAACAATTGTTAGGTTCTGGGAGCCTCAGGCCTATTTCTCAATACTTCAGATGAAGTGAACTTGTATCAAGTACACAACTTCAGAATGAATGATCCCCAGTACTAGAAAAGTCCTATTCCTATAAATATTACTGATGATACTAGCTTAGCCTTCTCCCAGTTTTCAATATGCTAGATTTTTTTTGTATTCAATCATGGACAATCCCCTCCCCCAATAGTCTGAAGTGGTACAATCCAGATACAGTTAAACACCACATTTGCCATTGCTGGAAACCAAAGCTGATGACTGGTCAAGAGACGGCAGTGTAAATGAGACTACTACAGTAATAGGAAAAAACAGGAGTTTAGCAGAAGTTTTCTGAAATGACTAAAGACCTTATAGAATGAAGGAGAGTACAAGAAATAAGAAATTGCATTAGCTGAGGGATGGTAGTTTATTTAAAATAATACTACCCCACTTTTCTCCCCAATGGAGACCCAAAATGGCTTAGAAAATTCTCCCCTCTTCCACTTTATCTTCACAAAACTCTGAGAGGAAGATTAAGCTGAGAGTGCGTGATTGGCCCAAGGTCACCCAGCAAATTTCCACGGCTGAATGGGGATTCAAACCCTGGCTCTCCCAAATTATGGATTAGATCCTGACTCCCTTTGTCTAAACCTGCTCCTACAACTCCCCTCCATCAAGTTTTCTTCTAACAGAAAAAAACTTCCATCAACAAAGAAAAACTTTTCTTCATCAGTGGAAGACTTTAGCCACTGGAGGAAGACTTAGTCATAGAATCCTAGAATTGAACCCTAAGTTTTATGGCACCCTTTGATTACTGTCATAATTATGCTAGTAGTGATGGCTTCAACCTACTTCATAATCAGTCGAACAGCTAAGATGAAGTAATTCTTGTGGACTGATGAGTAGGTGATAACCTCACTGCATGGTGGTTTCAGCACTAGTTAAAATTGTGTGTGTTTTGTCTATATTTCTTCTCTGTGTTCAAACACATTTGCATTAGTTTAGCTAAGCAAGATAGTGCGGAGAAATTAATGGCACATTTCAAGAGGAATGGATTATTTTGGAAACAATGAAGGAGCAGCAGCATGACTTGGTGATTTGCCAGAGGTGGAGGGAGCAGCTGAAGATATTGTCAAAGTTTCAGTGGCTCACCAGCAGAAGAGATACAGTGCAGCTGACACAAGAGGGGAAGATTTAATGGAAAGAAGGAGAGTTCCATCATCAGCATGTTCAACTGGAGACAGCAGCAAGAACTCCAGGAATAAATATCAAAAATACATTTAAAACATAAAAAACCGAAGACAGACAAAATGATACAGTAAGAGGGATTCATTTGAATCAATGTGCTGGAGTGACAACTGTACTCATGATTATGAATGAGACACCCAGAGCAAGTCTGAGGGAACCAGAACAAGAAGAGGGAACCTAGAGGACCCCAAGAAAGAATCATACAAGCAAGCAGAAGAATCTTTGTCTGTGTGTGTTTGTGTTGCACAAGGTGTCTGCCAAAGCAGCAGAGTTAAAAAAACCCCAATAAAAGTAGAAAAGATACTCAATAGAATTGGAATTTCTGATATGACATTTTCCAGAATGGTGGGGATCTAAACAAAGACTAAACATGTACCACAAACATGGAGAAGGGGGGGATAGAAGGGGTAGCATCCCATAATGAAAAGATGCAGAAGGCAAGAGCTAAGGGGTGCAAAAATTATTTAATGCCAAGCTGATATCTGTTGTGTTTCTAACATTTATTTCTTCCTCAAGGGAAATTATTCAGCATCTGAACTGATGGGAAAGCCCTGGCCCACTCCGATTTACTGCTCAGAAAGTAAAGCAGTCACTAAGGTTAGACAAAGTAATCAATAAAGCTGGAGAGCCCAAGTCTGCCAAGTCATGCCTCTCAAAGATCTATTTGCTTACGTACTTGTTCTGCTGCTCAGGAAGACCCTTCCAGTTAAAAACATGTTTATGCTGGAAAACAAGTATTTAACTTATAGATGCTAATCTATTTTTAAATGCCATGCCATTAAGTTGCTTTAATCGCACTTCACATTTAACTGTGATTTTTTTTTTCTACAGAGGAAAGGCAACTGAGAAGAAATTCAAATTAAATATATGTGGAATTCTAGCTCGTAGAGTACTATGTGTTGATTACAGACTGTGGAGATTCTTTACCCTGGAAGTATTAAAAAAACAACCCACAGGACAGACTGCAAAAAAAGCACATGCGCAGAGATGTTGGCAAGACTACCTACCTTATTATCAGTTCTGATTGTTACTTTCAATTGAGGAAGGACTCGTTCTACTTCGAGGTTCCACTCAGCTGCATCTACTGTGGATTCTAAAATCTCTTCTTGTTTTGATTCATTCATATCCTAACAAAATATGGCGATTCAATTACAATAGTATTACTGTGCAAGGTATCATAATTCTTACACAAAGTCTAAGAACTGCTGCACCATCCCTTGTACTATAAATAGCAGCCACACCAGTGTAGTGTTCTAAAAGATACCATGACAGCAGCAATGCAGGGAGATACATCACTGCAAATGGTGCACAATGTAACAGTGATAGGATAGACAGACCCTACAACTGTGACTAATGTGAGAAACCTTTGGGTTTAGCCTTCATGTGACTTGTGAACAAATAGTTCTACTGGTTTGGTAGAGACATAAAATGTATGAACTTTTGATTTGTAGGAAAGAAAGTTAAAAAATAAGTAACTGGCTAATTCAGAGGTCCCCAACGTTTTTCAAGCCTGTGGGCACTTTTGGAATTCTGCGAAGGGGGCTGGGTGCAACCACAAAATGGCTGCCATGGGAGGCAGAGCCAACCACAAAAATGTCAGAGCATGTGGTTATGCATAACTCTAATGCTAACTCTTTGATATTTCAGGCAGAAGTTCTGTTTTGCCTTTTAAAATGAGCATATTGTTTTAAAATATTTTCTTGCATATATACCTTCAGGCACACAGTGAGGATTCTTGTGGTTGCAGCTGCTGCTGAAGCAATGTTTTAAAAAATATGTACAGCCAATCAGAAGGGGGGGGATTGAATTTATAACCTGCCCTTCACTCAGAGTCTCAGAGTGGTTTACAAACTCCTTTCCCTTCCCCTCCCAACAACAGACACCCTGTGAGGTAGGTGGGGCTGAGAGAGCTCTTTCAAGGACTGCTCTTGAGAGAACAGCGCTGAGAGAACTTGTGACTGACCCAAGGTCACACCAGCAGCTGTAGTGGAGGAGTGGGGAATCAAACCCGGTTCTCCCAGATTAGTCCGCACACTTAACTACTACACCAAACTGGATCACTTGAATCAGATCTCCAATGGCCAATCAGAGGCCTTGCTGGGCAAAACCCCCACCCATTTCCTGAAACTACTCTACAAGCACCAGAAAAGGTGTCAGCAGGTGCCATGGTGACCACTGCTGAGAACCCCTGGGCTAACTGTTGTCATTTCACAGTTGGCCTGTTTAAAAGAAATGTAATCAAATAGTACTCATAATTCAATGTGCATGATGTAATTCTGAAGCTACAGCTGAACTGAACTTCACTTTGCATTTTTAACATGGTTCACTTAAGTCAGAATTAGTTTATATCCAATACAGTTGTTTTGAACATTTTTGCATGTGTTTCAATGCACAAATAGCACACTTCATTCTGCTAACTGAAGAGGAAAATGCTTACTGATTTGTAAGTTTGTGCCTTTAAAACATTCAGATCAATGTAGTTATCTTCATTGTCTGTCTCTTCTTCCTTAAAAATATATAAAGCATATTATCTACAATACATAAAGTAATGCAAAATGGTATTTTAAAAACACTTCCTGAAATACATCATAAAACCACATCAGTGAAGGACAACATAATGTGTTAATGCTACAATATCCGGCTCTTTATGAACACTATGCCTTTAGCAATCACCAAGGTAATTGCTTTGCCCTTCCTTGCATTTAAATATCACTTATGGCCACTTCCCAAGATGTTTATTTCACACACCAGCCTGATCGCACCCTGGGCACATATTTGTGCTTACGAAAATTACAATACAAAATAACAATCCTGGATACAGCCAGCTGAAATTCCTGTAGTTGTGACAGTTGGAGAATTGCTGCCAGATGCATCCAGGATTGCCATTTCATGCAATTATGTGCCTGTGGCCAGTTGGGACAGCTGTCATATATATCTTATGAACCGGCTGCCACATGCACCTTGTGAACATCTTTTCTTTCTCTAACATAACAGGTGCCTAACCAAGCGTCAGTTTGAAGTCAATAGGACTTGGCTGGCTGATCTCTGTCCTCTGATTAAGGACACATGCAACAGGAGGGGGGTCACAGAGCAGGCTCTGCCTCCTCAGGTTGTAGGGGAGGGGGTAAGAAATCACATTTCTGAAGGTTTCCCACTTTAAAAAAATAAAAGCACTCTATACAAGAAAAAGATTCCTGTACAGCTGGCGCCTTAATTTACTGCTTCCCATTTGTAGATAGCATTTTTAAACCCAAAATAATGCTTTTAAAAATGATCCTCTGTTAAACTGCATAATCCCTTCTACTGTATCAGGACACCAGCTATTCTGCTGCATGAGTAGACCAAGCCTAGGTTCTACCTGACAGTCCAGTTGCATAACTTTTTCATCAACAAGTTGTATGTACTAGAAGGGCATTTTCCCCAGTTTCATAACCTGACACTTCCAATATCACTGTGTGTGCAACTCCCTTGAAAACAGTTCTCCATTTTCAGATATGGCAGAAGTTCACAAAAGCTCTCACATCCCAAACACGAGGTACGTTTGGCCCAGTGAACAATATAATGTCTTTATCTTGTTCCCTCTGTCCTGTTTAATATTGATTTTCCTTAAATTATTTAACAATAACCGTAACACTAGAAGATTAGGCATACCTACCGCAATTTCTTCTTCCACTTTATTAAGGGTCAGTTCTGCATCATCTTCCGTTATTGCTTCTTCTTCTAGTTCTTCTGTTGGATATACAGGCCTGAAACCAACACAATCTTGAGATGCAGCATTTTTTGAGGCACTGCTAGAGGCTTAGCTTATCCACAGATCTTTTACAACATAGCCTGGCAGTGATTAGCTTTTGTGCTTCTGACAGGGAAGGGAACAAATGCAGGCTGCACTCAGGTATAGTACACAAAACCATTTCCTATGCAATACCTCCTACTGGTCCCCTGCCTCCCCTTAATAGCTTCCATTATTTTGAGAGTTGATTTGTGTAATAATCCCATATACAGTAGCTGATGACTACTAAAGAACTTGGTCAGATTCATTTTCACGTTAAACCTCACCAAATTCAAGCATAAGCCACTAAAAATAGTATTTGGCTGCTAGCCATACATTAAGCAAGATTGTCAACCATCCTGAAATTTGCCTGTAAGCTCAATAATGAAGAGATAAAACTTGTGCTTCCTGAACATACATATGTATAGATTATTCATTAGGTTCTTCATCAAAACATAAAGCAAATGTATTGAAGCCATCGGCTACAAAAGTAATGGAAATATAAACCAATATCAGCTCTCATTGTTTTGAAAAATGTGTAGCACTCATGGTTGCCAAGAAAATCTATGATTCAAGTGATTGCCTGTCTTAAAGTTCTGTGCTTATGTCTTGGTTCTGCACGTTTCTGTAAATATGCAGAGCAAGACAGTTCTGGAGTTCTTCTTCAGTAATGTTCATACTCTTTTACGGTCTCTTTCAATGTGAGTTTAACAAGAATCCCTAGTATTTAAATCCAACAACCTTCTAAGGCAGCCGGGGTTATTACTCCTGTATTACAGTTTAGGAAGTGGGGACGGTGGAGGGGAGATACAAAGAGATATCATCATAACAAAAGCCATCATGTAACCTCATGGCCAAGCTGAGAACTGCAATAAACATACAGTGCTTTCTTAACAACTATGCTATACCAGCAGGATTGATGCCAAGGCTCTGCCCAAAAATGGAGGGCTAGATATAGGCCCTGGACATGGGAAACCAAGGTACAAATCACTGCGTGTGTGTTAAGTGCCATCAAATCACTTCAAAAATGACAACCCTATGAATGAATGACCTCCAAAACGTTCTTCTGTTAACAGCCTTGCTTCCTTGAGGGCCCTAGCTTCCTTGATCGAGTCAATTTGGTGTAGTGGTTAAGTGTGCGGACTCTAATCTGGGAGAACCGGGTTTGATTTCCCACTCCTCCACTTGCACCTGCTGATGTGACCTTGGGTCAGTCACAAGCTCTGGCACAGCTGTCCTTGAAAAAGAGCAGTTTGTGTCAAGAGCTCTCTCAGCCCCACCCACCTCACAGGGTGCCTGGTGTGGGGAGGGGAAGGAAAAGGAGTTTGTAAGCCGCTCTGAGACTCCAAGTGAAGGGCGGGGTATACATCCAATCTCTTCTTCTTCTTCAATCCATGTTATGTTGGGTCTCCCTCATTTCCTGCTGCTTTCAAATTCCCCCAGCATTATTGTCTTTTCCAGTGACTCTTGTATTCTCATAATGTGATCAAAGTACAATAGCCTCAATCTAGTCATTTTAGCTTCTAGGGAGAGTTCAGGTTTGATTTGATATAGAACTCACTTATTTATCTTTTTGGTGGTCCATGGCACCTGTAAAACTCTACTGCAACACCACATTTCAAATGAATCAACTTTCTTCCTGTCAGATTTCTTCATCAGAAAACCACTACTCAAAAAGAAAATTCACAGTGTGACTTTGGCAAGTCACTCAGCTTAACCTAACTGATGGATCATTGAGAATATAAAGTGGGATACCCTACATGTATCACTCTAATCTCCCTGGAAAATGATGGAATATAACTGTGACTGATGAAAAAACAAAAACACATAGGCCTGCAATACTTCCACAACAATATTCCCTCGGGTTGTAAAAACAGCAGGGACCATGGGGGGAAAGCATTCCAGTTCCCCAGGGACAAACACTGTGGTTCAAATGCTGGGAAAATGGGACATATAACCAACAGAGACTCTACCTTGAAGTAAATAAATGATTCTCACAGTAGGAATACTTAGGAAATGACTATTTTGCAACAAGAACAAAAAAACTACACACACAAGTTTTGTGAAACCTAAGAGACAAGGGTAATAGGAGGTGACCTCATGTTGTTCCGTCTTACTCATTTTGTACCATCAGCACCTGACTCCTGCTTTCTTAAAGAATCATACCTTTTCCAGTTATAGGAGGTGTGTTTCAAAGCTTCTTCAGCTAAACAATCAAGAACATAACACGCTTGCTCGCCATAACCTGCCTTTAACTTTGAAGGAGGGAAATCCACAGACCTCCCCTGAAAGCAAAAGGACAGACCATTAATAGCGATTTACTAAACAGGTTTTCTTCCTTCACCAAAAGCTGCTTCGTATGTTCATGTTCCTCATTCAAGGGCTACATCTACTTGTATGAGTGAGAAATTACATATGAAATGCCACCAACAGAATTCATGTATCGTCACATCACCTCAAACACAATGCTGTTCAATGAAGTCCATTCTCACATACTTCTGTAAGTTTTCAAGTAATTAAAAAAAAATCAAGAGACATCCATGTATGAACAAACGACAGCCATGACATTCATGACCCATCCATGTGAATGTACTGTTCAAGTGTACATTGAACAAGCAAGACACATCATCATTTCTCCTTAGCCTTAATGTGTCCTGGCAACAGTGCACAGTCATACGACGCTGTTCTCTGAACATCCCTTTTCTTGTATCAGAGATAATTTCTTCAAAACAGCTTAATCTTGGTTTGGTATGATGTCTGAGCTGACGAATAATGGTGCAACATCAGCTACAAAACAAAAAATGAAACACATAGTCTGAAGTGAATTTGCAGACCATATGCAAAATGTGATTTGGCACACTATCTGAATAAACACAATCCATGGTCCACAGGATTCTGCATATGAGAAATGAATTTAGCAAACTAAGTGATGAGAACACAGAAAGCAAAAGCTGGCAAACCATCCTAAACAATGATTTGCCTGTTATACATCTGTGATCTCAGAACCACAGTTTGAGAACTATACTATTATGCCTGAACTGAGTTATAGTCACTTAGGCATACACTGTGTGTACTGAGTTTTATTTCTAACCATGTATGAATTGTTGCGTTAGACCAATGGCCCATTCAACTCAACAATCCTGCATGCCTGCAGCAGACAATGATATAAATTCCCTGTGATTTAATCTTGCTACTCTGTGAAATATTGTTCCTGTAAAGGGAGGCTTTACACTAGCAGATTTAATCTTTTCAGAAAGCCATTTATACAAGGGGCCATCACAACATTTTTATGGCAATGAATCCACAAGTTAAAAATGTGTCCCTGGAAGAACATATCTTTGCTTGTCTTAAACCCTACTGCCTTTTAGTGTTCCTTACTCATTTATATTACTCATGATCTTAACATCCCTAAGCATTTCTGCCTAAATGTAACAACTTCCTATTTATCAAGGTCCCACAAAGTGTGAGGCCTTTAACAGAAGAGATGCATCCATTATGCATTATAATCCTTGAGCTCACAAAAGCACTGATAACATTATAAGTATCCAAACATTAATTCAAAACCATTGCTTTTTCTTAAAAGTAAAAGCTTACAAAGGATCGTAGCTCTGAAAGTATGTTGGATATAGTTGCATTTGGATCATCATATTCTTGTGGCTGTTCAAATGGATGTCCTGCTTTATTAATTAGCCAAGCTGCCAGAGTGCAGAACATGTAGAACTGTTCGCCTGGATTAGTGGGTAATGCAAAGTAGTGCCTGTTTTAAAATAAAAAGGAGCAAGGATTAGTCTGCCTAGACTGGGGAAAATATTATTTTTCTAGTTAACACAGTGCTGCTGTATGCCTGTCCCCCCTCCCCCAAATTGCTTTATCCAAGGATGACATTCTAGGGTGACATTTCACTGACAGATGTGCTCATTTCTTTGCAGTATTTTCAGGATATTATGTCACCATTGGTTATGCCTTCTACTGCGTATGTAAACCCTCCTGAAAATGAATATCAGTCAAAGGCTAAAAATGCAATTCCCAAGAATCTTCCACCCAAACGCTTGACAGACAAAAAGGAATCTTATTATCTGATAGTTGATAAATCCCTTTAGTGTTTAACCTTCTATGGAAACATACTATGCAGATTCACACTGTTTTGTATCTTTTAAAAAGCAGACTTTTCACAACTGATAAAAAAATTAGAAAAAAGCAGTACAACTTAAAAAGGCACATCTTTACCTATACCCCTACCCATACTCTAAGAGACAGGAAACAATATATATTTTGCCAAAACTACTCTCTTAACACAGTCATATATCATGGTCAAACAGCAACTTGAAATCTTTAAGAACTATTCTATGTGAGATGGATTTGGGGAACCCGGGCTTTTCTGATATATAATTGGAAGTGCACAGTTTCATTTATATATCAGCACTGGCTGTCAGCAGCCCCTTACAAAGTTTTTTTTGTGGACAGTATTTGTTTTAATTCTTTTAAAAAGTAACCTTTGTATAATTAGTTACATAGGAAGTGAAGTCAGGATTCTTAAAAACAGGTTCTTGACCTTAAACTTGCAATACTGACACAACGTTAAGCCAGAAAACTTGCATAATGATGTTATTAACACAAGAGCACTCCGAATTTTTTATTCTATACTATTTTTATTCTATACTAAATATATTCTTATCTCTACAAAGACATGCAACTGTTCAATAAAACTATGTCTTTTGGGGAAAGTCTGAAATCTTTTGTCACCCTTGATAGCAAGATGAAAAATTCACAGTGAGATTTTTATCAATAAAATGCATTACCTTTCACCTCCTTAGGCCACAGGAAAGTCTAAAACCTATTTATGTTTCAAGTGCTAGCCCCACTCCCACACGAAAGGAAGTTACTATTTCATAAGTAGCCTTTTCAAATTCTCACAATATTGCTAGATAATGAAAGAGTAGCACTGTGCTGCCTTGGGGCTATTAACTGGTGAACTGAGTTGCTTTGTGGCTCTAATAGGAACATTTTTGTACATGTTTGTGTCAGAGTAAGTTATTCCCCATGGCCAACTGCTTCCAACCGCCCCCCGCCATGTGAGCAGCTTATGATAGATCATGGTATAATTTTTGTGAACTGGAAAACTGCAAGTTGCAAAGAGAAGGGCTAATGTGTATGAATTAGACAGTTCAATGTTATGGAACCCACACAAGGAGACTAGTCATGACAGAAGGGGAGGGTCTGGGTGTGTTTTTTTTGAGAAAGCTTGGCAGTTGCATTTTACCGAGACGGACTCAGTTGGATACACTAAAATACAAAGGTGCCAGAACAGCCTGTTTTGCATTCTCCTTAATGACTTATAAAGAAGCCAGCATATTACATTTTGGAACTCATACTGCATACAGTGATGTTTGCACAAAGTCTGTATCAATTTATATAAATGGAATAAACATAAGGGGAACACTGCAAGCACTTGTGGAAAGCATCTTATTTTCCACTCTCCCATGCTTTCCCTTCCTTGAAAGCCACCAGACTGCCAATTTTTCCTGCTTCCTTATCACCTTCCTACTCACCAAGCAACCTACATTAATCTGCCCCCCAGTCTTTAGCTTTCCCTCCTTCATTCCCCCTGGCAGCCTCTACCCATTAAAACTCAGACTATCAATTTTTCCTGCTTCCTTCTCACCTTCCTACCCACCAAGCAACCTACATTAATCCACCACCCAGTCTTAGCTTTCCCTCCTTCACTCCCCCTGGCAGCCTCTACCCATTAAAACTATGGTTTTGTTGTGTGGTATCTGCCTCCAGGCTGGTCCCAGCAGTATGGCAAGGAACCTGCAAGGGTTTGAGGGGGACACCTCTCTTACCCCTGTATCCACCTTTCCATTTTATTTCTAATGTCCCTCCCATATCCTCATCTTTCCTTGTTTCCTTCTCTCCTTCCCATCCACCAACCATCCTACCTTTTATCTGTCCCTCATCTTCAGCTATATTTACTTAATTTATAACCCATCTGTCTCCATAACGGGGGTTAAAGCAAGCTTACAACATTCTCCTCCATTTTAGGTTAGGTTGAGAGCATGTGACTGGCTCAAGGCCATTCAGTGAACACCAGGGCAGAACTGGGATTTGAAACTGAGTCTCCTGAATCCCACTCTGAACCTCTGTCTGTACCATATAGGCTTTAAGCTGGTGGCTGCTGTTAAATAATAGAGAGACACCAAGCCTTGGTGAGTCATGGAAGTCAGATAACATGATTTGTCCATGATTGTTGCCAGCCCCAGCAGTCTCCCTCAAAGACCAAAATATCCTTGGAAAGGGCTCTGCACCGCCCCCCCCCACCTTTTACTAACAGAAACCAAGGCTTCAGCTGGCAGTTTAGCAACAGCTACAGAAGGCACTCATTTCTTAAAGCTACAGATGCTGCTTCTATTCTTTTCAGGGGTTTATACCACAGAGTGAGTGAAACAGTGTGTGTGTGTGTGTGTGTGTGTGTGTACTTTAGATTTCAGTTTTTTCTACAATAGAAATATTTCTCAGGTTTCCAGAAAAATCTGTTTTGTCTGTTCATGGCTCCAGTATCCAGATTTAAGCATGTACAGATTTGGCCATGTTGAGAATTAGAAATATTGATTATACAACTCACTTTTATTACATATGGGCATCCATTCAACTGAAAACTTTAGCATGGATGACACTGGTGAAGGGGATCAGAAGGATTAGAAGACACATGTATCAAGGAATGATTGATGCAAGGTAGTGTTATGAAAAGATGTTCAGTGGTTCATCTCATTGCTCTGAAGCTTCACGCAGAGCTTTTAGCTTCAGAGACTTGTATGTACCCTCTCCCTCAAGTACAAGGTCTTGAAACTTTTTGAGAAAGCTCAAACAGTCAGGAATCCATACTTCATGCTGTGTAGCATATGAATAATGCACACTGTTCTTTGAATATTGCTTCCTTTTGAACCACAAGAGGATTGATGTTAAGTTGGCAGAAAGCCTGACTGGCCATACTTTAATTATTCCATGTTTAGTACCATGATGACAGAGTTACAAGCAGAAATGTATGATCAAAACCAGGTTAATTAATATAATGAATATTTTGTTGTTTTTTTTTGCCTCCAGATGGAAGACTGCTAGTGACAAGGAAAAATAAAAGCTTTAGAATAGAACATCTATATTTCAAAGACCTAGATACAACGGAATGTAGTCAGAGCTTCAAGAAGAAAGTTTCAAATTACTGACAACTTCAATTTTAAGTCTCTCAGTGCAAATAATCTTGAAACATTTACACTCTTGGCATACACAGCAAAAGTTAGCAATAAAACACAATCCTTGGCAGATTTTTCTTTGGGAGCTTGAACTGACAGCTTCTCTCAATGGTTATATGGATCTCCACTAGAACTTATGGTGTATTACACAGTGAAACTAGGAACAGGTCCAATATTGTACACTCATTTGTTGTTGTTGTTGTTTTCACAAGCCAATCTTGATTCCGCAGATATTCACAGATCAACCCAAAGCAAAGTCACACCTTTCTAAGCCCACTGAAGTTAGTGAACTGCAGATCTGCTTAGGATGTCAGTCAGCTATCCGCAGGGACAATCATTCTGTCATGAAAATCATATATAAGCAGACATTCAAACAATTAGGTCACAAACACTGCCACATAAATAGGCCAATAATACACTACCCACTATATAATACACTACTTATTTATCCTCAAAAAACTGTCATTATTATTTTCCATTCTATAATGAAGCTGAGAGATAGGTCTCATGACCCCTAATGAGCACACTAGTTAAACTAATAATATCTATCCAGATGCTTACAAAGTCAAAGCACCCTGCACACTGGTCCAGAGTAATCCTCCTCTGCCAAAAAAAAACCCCAATGCTATTGCACACAGCTGCTCTATGGAAGAGCAATTTTTTTACCAGCAGCAGTACCAAGAGCACTCCAAAACATATAAATTCAACCTGTTCAATACAAGATACTAATGCACAGCACAATCATTTAAGCATGTTTTAGAAAGCTAGCTGACGTAACAGAACTTTCTTTCAAGTGCATGTGTGCTGCACTGTAGCTCTACCCTAACTCATGCAAGTCTTCCTTTTATGCATAAATAAGTAAAGAATACAGAAGCCAAAAACACACATGAAATATACATGCAATGCAAACCCTATTCATATTTCAGGCCACAACCCTACTCTTAGAAGAGAGAATGTCCCACTGAGCTTAATTGGACTTGCGTCTGAAGAAGTAAGATTAGAATTGGGCAATACATGGCAACTTTCATTGGTTAAAGGGGCAGTGTAGTGTATTGGCTAGAATATTGAGCTAAGATTGGGTATACCCTAAATTTAAACCCCTACTCAGTGATACCTACACGTAACCCTGAGGCAGTGGATCCTTCTCAGCCTAACCTACCACTCAGCATTTGTGTGTGTGTGTGTGGGGGGGGACACCAAACCGATAAACTTCGAAAGACATCAGATGAGGTTTTGCATGTGTTAATGAACCATCACAGAACTCTCCCACATCCCCTGACACATCACAAGGTTTTGCAAGCGAGTTAGCTCACAGGTTCACCCTTCTAACCCTCAGAAGTGCACGAAGAAGTACGGAACAAGCAAGTGACCTACAAGTAGTACACGTTGTTTAACCCCCACCCACTCCAGGAAGCAGAAGTTTCAAAGGGGCCTTCCTCCCTACCCCCCTTTGAGAGGAGGCTAGACAGGCAGACAAACAGCGAGGCCTGCTTTCTTGTCTCACCTGGAAGGCGGCCTCATGTTGTGGCTCCGGAGCGCCGACTCCTCCTCGTAACTGAGCAACTTCAACTTCTCCAGTAAATCCTCCATCATGACGAACATGTGATAAACGGCGCCGGGACCACGCTCGGCCACCGTGTCCCCCTCCTCAGCGGCGGCCGCCATAACCATTCCGCAAACCCTCCGGTCCCAACCCGCCGGTCTCCTCCGCTTCCAAGTTGCCACCACAACATACAGGCAGAAACGTCAGCGCCGGCGTAACCGGGGAAACAAACCCCGCCCATTGCAATAGTCGCTTGCCAATCACGTCTTTCATCAGCGCCTCCCTCATGGGTCGGCTGATCATTCACTGCTTGCTGTAATTATTGGTTGCGCATGCGTGGAATTGCAAAACGATGATCTTCGTTTGGCGCCCGGGTCGTCGTCTTCGGCTTGGAGTGGGGCCGAAATAACGTTGGGAATCGACGAAGCTTTTGTCTTCAAAATAAAAAAGATAATATCGAATTAAAAAAACAAACAGCAAAAAAGAAAAATGGGGACAGCTATCATTCAGCTGAGGGAATTAGTAGACAGAACTGAAACTGAGTGCTGTTTGCCCAGTAATATTTCTTTTATAGTCTTTTCAGGGTTGTTTTTTTAAGTACTCGTGGTAATATGGTCACTTTCTCGCGCACATCCCTTTGCGAACATATAAGCAACCGCATATCAAATCTGTACAGTTTGTGCAGAAAAGGCCCTAGCAAACGCATGTCTATTCCACAAAGAATCTTAACAAATCTCACATCCTGCGCTGCACGCTCACCTTTCTAACCTCTAGCCTTATGATGTGTCACAGATGAAAACAGAGCCTACTTAATTAACACTTTTTTCATCATCACTGGTGAGAGCCAATTAACATATTGCAAAGTGCACAAGGTGGACATGACAGGGCACCATAAAGATTTCTAAATTTTCCTAAATTTATATTTGTATAACACTGTTCTACATAATTCATTCCAATCATTTAGAATTTAGTTTCATTGTTCCATAATAATGGTTAGCTACCTTTTTGTAATTAGTTTCAGAGGGCAGCCATGTTGATCTTTAACAGAAAAAAAAATTGGGTCCAGTGGCATGCTAATTTGCTGTTTACCCTCTACCTACATATATGGACTGTTACCTTCCATTTCAACGTGTTTGAGGAAGTGTGTGTGCACACAAAAGCTTATACCTTGAATAAAACTGTGTTGATCTTAAAGGTGCCACTGGACTCAAACTTTGTTGTGCTGCTTCAGATCAACACAACTACCCATCTGAATCTATCTGCGACAGAATAGTTAGATTTGATTCCACTAGCACCTTAAAGACCAGCAAGAGTTTCAGAGTGTGAGCTTTTGAGAGTCAAAGCTCCCTTTGTCAGACCGGGGTAGGAATGAAAATCTATGAGTCTTTTTATCCCAGTCAGAAGGTGGGAGGGGTGTTGTAAAGAATGTTGTAAGAAATTATTGTAAAGGATGCAAAGGTACAGTGCATAATGTAGATTCAGGTGGGTAGCCATGTTAGTTTGAAGCAGTAGAACAAAGTTCGAGTCCAGTGTCACCTTTAAAACCAACACAGTTTAATTATGGGTATAAGCTTTCATGTGCATGCACACTTCTTCAGATACAATGGAGCAGAGAGGAAATGCCTGGGGGCAGGAAATCAGCATCTGTAGTGAGATAAGAATCCTATGTTCCTATTCAGCCCTGGGGGATATATTGTCCATTTTTTTGTAATTAGTCTCTCTCTCTGTGTGTTACAGTTCTGTATAATAATTCTTTTATAAACATTACCCCAATTTTAACAATAATATATTTTCCCTGCCCTGAAGCCCTGATGCTAGTCCTCTGCCCCTGCATTGCACCAGCATGTAGGTGATCCTTCAAGCTCTCCCCTCCATTCACCCAAGCTGTTCTCCATTGATCAAGGTGATGCAGGTGGCATAGTTGACAGCTGCTGAAAGATGGGATGCAGAGTGTCCAGTTCACAGCTTCCCTTTACATCCCAAGGAGCAGAGCTGCTCAGGACTCAGTGCTGCCACCTCAGCTCATTCATTCTTTAACCCGGCTGTTTGGAAATTAATCTATCAAGGGAGCTCTGACCTATGGCTCCATGGAGAGCCTCTGCCAGACTGATTTACCTATAGAACATACACATTTTATCTGGGGAAAGATTTTACTAACCTCTTACTAATATTTTATTTAAGTCACTCTCCCAGGTGAACATTCTGGTGATTTGCAAAGCTTGATTGATAGGCATACTGTTTCCTACACTCAAAGCGTCTCTCTTGTGTGTTTCTCTCCTGTGAGTATGTATTGGTGATTAACAAAGACTGATTGCTGAGCAAATCATTTCGTACGTTGTAGCTATTTACAGACTTGTTTTCCTGAATGGACTCTTTGGTTAAACTATTCCTAGTCTCCACATATGTACAGGGTTTCCTTGGTCACATTCAGTTTCATGGCAAAGCTTCATCTTAGGGCATAAGTTCAGTTTCCTAACATCACCTGATGGAGAGAAAAAAACTCAACAAGATTCATCCTAAGCGTTAGAAGTGAAGGACTCTTTTAAAAGAGAGGGAAAGGTATTAAACAATTATGACCCACTGATTGAGCACAATGGCAACAGGAGTTCTACATGGCAAGTTTCCCTGCATATCCCCTGCCCCACTTCCCCACAGTGGCCATTTCCCCCACACCACTTATGGGCCTTTTTGAGGTTTTTCAAAATTTAGTAATTGACACATTGCTAAAGTATTAAAACAGTGTATGCTAACTACCATAAACCTGCCCTGGGTCTATGTGTGCTTACATGCATGTTGTCTGTGCATTGAAAGCCTGTTCCTCTTTGTTGTGCCACCACCCCAAGTCAAAACCAGCCTCTCATGTTACCAGTGACTTGGGGAACCCTGGTAAAGGCTGCCTCTGAGCAAGTACAAAGGGCAGAGTTTCCCAATTGCTCCAGCCTGTCCTGTGTGCAAATGTGTGAGAGTGAGTGAGTAAATAAGGCTCATGTGAGGAAAAGTTGAATCACAGTCTTCTTTCTTAAACAGGAAAATACTTAATTCCCTCAAATTAATCTTGAGCACAGACAGAGGAAATAGCCATCAAATCTACTGGTTACAGTTCTAATAACACCTGCCCCGCCCCCAACATAGGTATAAACAAAACCTAACCATACAGAAGAGTCACCTCTGACATCTGGATGTCTGTGGAACAAATGCACCTCCAGAACCCCACCTTCTCCCCCCCCCCCGAGGAATCCTGCTACCAGCATTTGCACAAAACATTTGGACAAGGACTAACAGATGTTTTTAACTTTTAATCCTTCCTGCCCTTTGTTGATGGAAAGCCCAATCCTGTTTTAGGGAACTTGCCCCACACGGTAAGGTGCATCCCAATTATGCCAATCAACCTAGAGTGCACGTTCCTCACATTTGCATACCTAGATCATGTTTTAGAACAGCTGTCCATCTTGCCCTTCCCCACCAGCAGGTAGGCAAATGGTTATCTGTCTGCAGAAGTACATCTCCTGTTCTCTAACCTCTTTGTACATTTTATGGCTTTCTTCCTTGAGAAAACAAATGGCTGTCAGGGTCCCAGGAACTCCCTAATGTGCTTCAAAGTACCTTGCATCTCCAAATCACAACACTAACTACCAATTTTTTAAAAAATGAAAAAGCCCCCTAGAGACAGTGGGGAGGAATGGCTGTGATGTGTACTGATGCAGGGAAAATGGTACTGATGTACCTAAAGTAATAAATAAATAAATAAATAAATAATGTGGGTGGTACTGGGAATTTCTCATCAACTTGGCACACATACCCCTTGCTTTGCTGCAGTCTTTCAAAAAAGATCACAGTAAAGCAGTTTTTTGGAGGGCCAAAGGAAAGCCAGAAGGTGCACAAGAGTACTATGGTGCTATGTGGAAGGGGAATTAAACCCACTTCCAATTAGCATCCAAGCAGGGCCAAATATCCATAGTGGAAATAACCATATATTTTTCCCATGGAAGAAATGCACTGTAGAAAAAGTTCACGATCATTTTTAAAAACTGAGGCAAGGGAAGGTCTGTGCAATAAAATTTTGTTGCTGTTCTCCCTTTTATTTATACCAGCCAGAGGTCATTTCGGGGGGGATCACGGGGGAACGCAGTTCCCCCAGGGTGAGGTACGGGGGACGGGGCACTTGACGAAGCCCCGCCCCCTGCTTCCGGCCGCCCCGCTTTCAGCCCTCATTCAGCCAGGAGGAGGCAGGAGATGTGGGAGGGTAAGTTGCTTCCTCCCTGCCTCTCCCCACCCCTGCCTGCCTGGGGCCAGGGAGGGCCTTCGTGGGGCTTCCTTGCACTCCCGCAGGCCTTGCAGGTCCACCGCTGGGCCCCTCATGGGGCTTGGCAGTGGAGCTGCAAGGCCGCCGGTGGCGGCCGGGACCGTTGGGGGCGGGGTGTGTGGCCTTGTGACACACTTCCGGTGATGTCAGGGGGTGTGGCCTTATGACACACTTCTGGTGATGTCAGGGGGTGTGGCATATGCTAATGAGTTATGCTAATGAGTTCCCCTAGCTCTTTTTCTACGAAACGACCCCTGATACCAGCCCTGTATTTGGATAGCATAGTAGAGAAAAGCTTAGCTTCTAAGGATTTTTTTAAAATCAAAGAATAAAGCATGGCGTGGGCACAGTGGAGGAGGGTCTTGTGTTGTTTATTTAATCTCGTTACGAATAGTAGCCCAAAGGTACTTTAGACATGCAACCACATGCCGCAACACTCCTATTATAAATGGTGCATTAGATGGGGGAGAAGGTTGCCTCTTCCTAGAGACCAAGTACATCATTTTGAGTTCTGAGACAATGCTATTTCCTCTTGAACAAAGACAATCTGGAAGCCCTGGAAAAAATGAATTGAAATTGGGCAATCTATTACATGGAAATCATTACATGGAAATGCCCTTTCTCACTATGTGCTGGAACAGAACTTACAACAACAAAGGTACACCACACAGTAAAAAGTGACACAAAACTAGCAAAACAAGCAAAACAATGGTGTGCTATATTTCCTGCAACATATTCATAAAGGAGTGTAATTCATTTGAAGTGTAATATATCTATTATATGAAGTCAATATGCCCATACAATCCATCATAGGAAAATACAGAGGCTAAAGAG